TTCCATTTACATACGGTTGAACGATTTCAATATGTTGATGGTGGAGCCACATTATCTAGTAAGATGTAATTTTTAAGGTCAGGTCTGCATTAGCTCCATTGGTACTACCTCAGGTGACAATCAATTGTGGTTGTATTCTTGTGGAAAACATGTTCCCTTTATGATCTGGATGCTGTTTACTGCTTATCTCATTTTTTGTCCTACAACCAAACCATCATGGAAAGCTACCTACCAAGTTATATGATAAGCATGATAATTTCATTTTCATTATTTTGAATTTTCCACTTCTGGATAACATTATTCCTACATCCTCAAGCTATGATGTTTTAATGTTGCTGCTGATTCAATATTTAAGAGCCTAATCCTAATATCACAATTTTCATGTTTGATGTTGACAACTGACAGATAAACTCACAACACTGGGTTACAAGAGGTGTACATTGTCAACTGTAATGGGTCATCATAGTCATCTCTTTGAGAAATGTTGTATTTCTTTGTATGATGTGATGATATGAAGCTGGATGTGTTTGATGCTCGTTAGTTTGCCTGTTGGTTCAATTGTTGTATGCCTTGTTCTCATTTGAGAATATGACAATCCTTACTTTGAACAAGATTTACATGACAGGTGTTGTTGAGAAGCAAAGGACACTTACTCTTCCAGAACACCTGGTCTTATTCTCTTTGCCCTTTTTCAGGAGTCTCCATGTAAATCTTTCTGCTTTTCATATTTTGGCCTAGTTTTATTGAAACTGAGTTTTGATTATAATTATGTTTTCATGTTGGTATTTTCATGTTGTTTTTGTTCAGTGAGGTTGCCACCAGATTCTATAAACTTTGCCACAAACTGGCTGGCTAGTCACAAGACAAAACATTCAACAAACAACAAGGCAAGCTCAAGTCAAAATATCCTAATTCCAAGACCTAATTTATTACAACTCTACACATTACTCTTAAAATCAATGACTATGAATTATGAATCTGGGCCTCTCAGTTCTAGAAAAGAACTTGTTTCATTAGCATTTTGACAAATCAGGGTCATTACAGTTTGAAAAGTTTTTGCAACTTAGTAAATCACTGGTGTGGGAATTTCAATACGTCATTCTTATTAAGAAGTCATTCAATTATTTAAGCAAATGACCCATGTGACACTCCGAAAACAAGACAAAGCAATCTCTGTTCAGAAATTTCGGAACACAACTTTTACACAATGTTACTCTTTACAATTCTTTATTGAAAATAATTTGTAAAGAAAATCCCTTGTGACACTTTTTTTCATCAAAACCTTGTCAATAAATTATGACCTTACAGCCTTTGGTTCTTAAGAAGATGGTTGTTTTAGATTTTCAAGTGTATGGTGTCTTCATGAACCTAAGTTGGTATCTTTTTCTACAAACCAGCCACGTACAACGAGTCTACAATTGATTCTATGTACACATGTACCATTCATTTAAAGAAACAGTTGATGAGCTACAGATAGATGATGACTTTATGACTCCTGATTGATCCTTAAGGCCATGTCAGCTAAAATATGTGTTAAACAGAGAAAGCCTACTATAAAGAACATGCTGCAAAAAACCAGAACATAAAGATGTTTCATATAAAACCTCAACAGATAATTCTGATAAAACCTGTATATAGTGACCATTCAGATACACCTGTATATAGAGACAATCAAGATAAAACCTGTATATAATGACCATTCTTATATAACCTGTATATAATGACCATTCAGATACACCTGTATATAGAGACAATCAAGTTAAAACCTGTATATAATGACCATTCTGATATAACCTGTATATAATGACCATCCAGATACACCTGTATATAGAGACAATCAAGATAAAACCTGTATATAATGACCATTAAGATACATTTGTATATCGTGACAATCAAGATAAGATGTGTACATGATAACAATTCAAATAGAACCTGTATATCATGACCATCCAGATACAACTGCATAAAATGACCATCAGACAAAACCTGTATATAATGACCATTCAGTTAAACCTGTATATAATGACCATTCAGATACACCTGTATATAGTGACCATTCAGATACACCTGTATATAGAGACAATCACGATAAAGCCTGTATATAATGACCATTCAGAAAAACCTGTATATAATGACCATCCAGATACCACTGTATATGATGACCATTCATATGAAATCTGTACATAATGACCATTCATATAAAACCTGTATATAAAGACCATTCACATAAAATCACTCTTTAGAGATAATTCAGAAAACAACCTGTATGTAATAACTCTTCAGACTAAACCTGTTTATTATGACCATTCAGATGAAACCTGTATATAATGACCATTCACTTAAAACCTGTATATAATGTCCATCAGATAAAACCTGTATATAATGTCCATCAGATAAAACCTGTATATAATGTCCATCAGGTAAAACCTATATAAAATGTCCATCAGATGAAACCTGTATATAATGACCATTCAGATGAAACCTGTTTATAAAGACCTTTCACATAAAATCACTCTTTAGAGATAATTCAGAAAACAACCTGTATATAATAACTCTTCAGACTAAACCTGTTTATTATGACCATTCAGATGAAACCTGTATATAATGACCATTCAGATGAAACCTGTATATAACGTCCATCAGATGAAACCTGTATATAATGTCCATCAGATGAAACCTGTATATAATGTCCATCAGATAAAACCTGTATATAATGTCCATCAGATAAAACCTGTATATAATGACCATCAGATGAAACCTGAATATATAATGTCCATCAGATAAAACCTGTATATAATTACCATTCACATAAAACCTCTCTTTAGAAATTATTCAGAAAACAACCTGTATATAATAACTCTTCATATTAAACCTGTATATAATGACCATTCAGATAAAACCTGTATATAACGTCCATCAGATAAAACCTGTATATAATGTCCATCAGATAAAACCTGTATATAATGACCATTCAGATGAAACCTGTTTATACTGATCTGAAACAGAGATGATATCCTTGAATAGTGACCACACAGAAACAAATTTGTACCATCTTAAAGAAAAGGAATCTATTTAATACATGAATGTATATTGTATACTGACAAATTAAAATTCCTGTATAGAGCATAACAAATGCAGACTGACCATAGAATATAAACTACACACTAGTCACACTATACATTAAAATGATATAATTTTTTGGAAATTTTGTCACATTTTCCATGTATCCCAGTCAAACCATTTTATTCTGGATATGCATACATGTTGTGGTGTCCAGTTATCACTGGACTATGTGTATCACTTACAAGCTGCTCCTGTCCAAATAAAATATACATAAAATATGTCAGCACATCCAAGTTTTAACCCCTAGTCCACAGCATATAGCTGGGTAACGGCAAAAACATGTTTCTGGCTAAATAAAAAAATGAGTAAATGACAATAAAATTGTCACATAAATGTCAAGTGTATGTGTGTACATTTCAAAATTGTTTGAAGGCTAATTCAGTACAATTATAAGACCATGCGAGGTCAAAATGTGACAAATACATGATGTAAAGGGAGATAATTTGCCCGAGGCATACAGGATGTTGTAATGTATACACCAAATAAGACAAAAAAAGTTAAAGTATTGTGTAAAATAACAGTACTTCCTCGTGACATAAAACGCATAGAAAACTTGAATATGTGATAAAAAAACCCTTCAGTGGTCTTTCTGCCTTAATGCTATGTCTGTCTGTGCCTTCATAAATTAAGAAAATACAGAAAGACTTCCTGAAAAATTGCCATGTTCCAGTTTGAGCTGCAGAGAGATATATCAAACATTATTCACAAGTGGTAATACTCGAACACTGAATAATATTACCTTGTATCGTTCTAGCTACTAAGTAGACAAATAATATTTTAGATCGTACTTCCTGTACTCTAGCCAAAACTTAAGTTTCTACCTGTCTTTTAACTTTCTTTGTAAATAAAACAATTATATTTCTTCCTTTCTATGTGTATCTTATGTCATTTATGAACTTATTTCTGTTCTAACTGAGTTTTGTACTATTTGCTAGGAGCTATATAAATTTCCTTATCATGTCATCAATTCAATATTTCCGGGTTGATTTCTTTTGTATATATATATGCTGGGTGGTAGCTAGGGTCATTGTGAGTCAGATGTCTTCTTGTAGTAGCCGGTGGCTGCCTGATTGAACAACAAAAGGGAGGCCAATCACATGCCGTCCAGAGCAATAGGAGTAAAGTGTCTTGCCCAATGACTCTACCATGACAGCAAACACTGCTCATCTTCTCATCTTCCTGAGAGACCATTGCTGGTACAGGGCACAACTTCAGGTAAAGTTGGACAATGCTGTACTCCCTGAGCTTTTGTGAACCCTTCTGTGGATGACTTTGTTTTGAATAATATAAAAAGATAATTTACTTACATTGATTCTTTTTCATTTACTCTAATTCCTAATTTAAATATTGATGCCTGTTTTGATTAAAAATAAACAATTAATATTTTTAATGATTTAATTACAAAATTTAGTATAGAATACTTATTTATATATAATTGGTGAACATGATTTTTGTTTTTGTTTTTTTTTTTAATTTTTAAACGAATTTATTTCTAATTTATTCTTTAGTTAGTGTCTACTAAATGAAAATGTGATCAAGACCATCCTCAATGCCATTTGCCCTCATCAGTGTTCATTACTAAGTACCTGGATCGTTATCACAAACATTTGCCAGGTGTCGGCCAGGTGTAGGCGAGTCAGACGGGATCCCGCTGGCCTATATTAATCACAAATTAAGCTTCTGGGCAGAGAACCAATTAGCGGCATGTAAATATGAATTATAAACCTACCTGAATGGCTGTTATTGGACGCATCCTGAAAGTGCAAGCAGTTAGGTACTAATGTCGCACGCAATTCAATATCAGACAAAAAAGGAGAGAAACAGGCATTACCAAAACGCTGTCGATAGTCTAAAGCGCTCTTAAAGTATATACCTACCCCATCGAGATACTCCAGTCCAAAAATCGGCTCCAAGTTACGAATATAATTTTTTATTACATCCACCAGAAAGTTGAAAGGAGGTGCAATGCACAATTTCAGTTCCCTGGAACACAGACTTTTGTCAGTATAAGAATTTGCCGACGGACAATATCACAAACGATTCTGAAGTTTCTTGTTGAAGATCTTGTCATATTTGGCAACTATATATATAACATAGGTTTTCAAGTGTTGTGTTGATGCTCACACAGGGATAAGTAGCACTATTCCTCTTCCACCGACCTCCGCGGCACAGTGGTAGGTAGTACTGCTATGTACAGCAGTATCGTGGGCCCCCTGGTATGTGTGTTTGTCAGGTCCTGCATACCTCCTTGAATCTCCCAAACATTCTGCTTTCTAGGCAGAATACCCGACACTTCAGGATAAAAGGGAATCTGGTTTCAGGCGTATTTTATCTTAGTGTGTACAAGATCATGCAGGAATTTCAAACTTTGGTTGTATTTTTTTTTTTTTTTGAAAACGCACGGGGGACTTATTCCATATTTTACGTTTTATATGAAGTATCCCTGAGATCCGCTGATAAATTTCGTGTGTACGTTGCACTCCTTTACAGCCTTGTAGGCGAGTAGACAGGAGTCTGCCTTACATCTATTACTACACAATAGTTAATACACAAACGAGGTGTCAATTGATACTGATGAGTCGATAGACTTTGTATACCAGCGGAGATGCCCGCTGGTACATTCTGTCAGCCTGAAGACTTAAAGTGGTATGTAACGGCAAACTGTGTTATATATATATATATATATCAAACAGATTTTACATCACACAACAATATTATAAATACAAGCATCTAGGCTGTATCAGAATAACGTGCATGTAAAATTTCACAATTACACGAACCTCACGGACACATTAAGGATACAGGTACCTTGTCGATGTTAATCCCTCGATTCCACCTAAAACACGTACCAAATATAAATATCTAGCTACAACATATACTCCAAAAATACAGGTACCCCACAAATACAGGTACCCTACCAATACCGATACCCCACAAATACAGATACCCTACAAATACCGATACCCCACAAATACAGGTACCCTACAAATACCGATACCCCACAAATACAGGTACCCAAAAATACAGGTACCCCACAAATACAGGTATCCCACAAGTACAGGTACCCCACAAATACAAGTACCCCGCAAATACAGGTACCTCACAAATACAGGTACCTAAAAATACATGTACCCCACAAATACAGGTACCTCACAAATACAGATACCACACAAATACAGGTACCCTTCAAATACAGGTACCCTACAAATACAGATACCCCACAAATACAGGTACCCTACAAATACAGATACCCCACAAATACAGGTACCCTACAAATACAGGTACTCTACAAATACAGATACCCAACAAATACAGATACCCCACAAATACAGATACCCTACAAATACAGATACCACACAAATACAGGTACCCTACAAATACAGGTACCCTACAAATACAGATACCCTACAAATACAGATACCCCACAAATACAGGTACCCAAAAATACAGGTACCTCACAAATACAGGTACCCCACAAATACATGTACCCCACAAATACAGGTACCCCACAAATACAGGTATCCCACAAGTACAGGTACCCCACAAGTACAGGTACCCCACAAATACAGGTACCTCACAAATACAGGTACCTAAAAATACATGTACCCTACAAATACAGATACCACACAAATACAGGTACCCTACAAATACATGTACCCCAAATACATGTACCCCACAAATACAGGTACCCTTCAAATACAGATACCCCACAAATACAGGTACCCTACAAATACAGATACCACACAAATACAGGTACCCTACAAATACAGGTACCCTACAAATACAGGTACCCTACAAATACAGATACCCTACAAATACAGATACCCTACAAATACAGGTACCCTACAAATACAGATACCCTGCAAATACAGATACCCCACAAATACAGATACCACACAAATACAGGTACCCTACAAATACATGTACCCCACAAATACAGGTACCCTACAAATACAGGTATCCCACAAGTACAGGTACCCCACAAATACAAGTACCCCGCAAATACAGGTACCTCACAAATACAGGTACCTAAAAATACATGTACCCTACAAATACAGGTATCCCACAAATACAGGTACCCTACAAATACAGGTACCCTACAAATACAGATACCCCACAAATACAGGCACCCTACAAATACATGTACCCCACAAATACAGGTACCCTACAAATACAGGTATCCCACAAGTACAGGTACCCCACAAATACAAGTACCCCGCAAATACAGGTACCTCACAAATACAGGTACCTAAAAATACATGTACCCCACAAATACAGGTACCCTACAAATACAGATACCACACAAATACAGGTACCCTACAAATACAGGTATCCCACAAATACAGGTACCCTACAAATACAGATACCACACAAATACAGGTACCCTACAAATACAGGTATCCCACAAATACAGGTACCCTACAAATACAAATACCCCACAAATACAGGCACCCTACAAATACAGATACCCCACAAATACAGGTACCCTACAAATACAGATACCCCACAAATACAGGTACCCTACAAATACAGATACCACACAAATACAGGTACCCTACAAATACAGGTACCCTGCAAATACAGATACCCCGCAAATACAGATATCCTACAAATACAGATACCCTACAAATACAGGTACCCTACAAATACAGATACCCTACAAATACAGGTACCCTACAAATACAGGTACCCTACAAATACAGATACCCTACAAATACAGGTACTTAGCAACACATATCTCACAAATACAGGTACCCTTAACAACAACACATACACCACAAATACAGGTACCCCAAACAACACATACACCACAAATACAGGTACCCCTAACAACAACACATACACCACAAATACAGGTACCCCAAACAACAACACATACACTACAAATATAGGTACCTCTAACAACAACACATACACCACAAATATAGGTACCCCTAACAACACATACCCATGATATACAGGTACCCCAAACAACACCCCACACAACAATACATACCCATGATATACAGGTACCCAAACAACAACACATACCCATGACACACAGGTACCCCAAACAACAACACATACACCACAAATACAGGTACCCCAAACAACAACACATACCCATGACATACAGGTACCCCAAACAACAACACATACCCATGATATACAGGTACCCAAACAACAACACATACCCATGACACACAGGTACCCCAAACAACAACACATACCCATGATATACAGGTACCCAAACAACAACACATACCCATGATATACAGGTACCCCAAACAACAGCAAATACATCACAAATACAGGTACCCCAAACAACACCACATACACCACAAATACAGGTACCCAAAACAACACCACATACACCACAAATACAGGTACCCCAAACAACACCACATACACTACAAATATAGGTACCCCAAACAACACCACATACATCACAAATACAGGTACCCCTAACAACAACACATACTCATGATATACAGGTACCCCAAACAACAACACATACTCATGATATACAGGTACCCCAAACAACACCACATACACCACAAATACAGGTACCCCAAACAACACCACATACATCACAAATACAGGTACCCCAATCAACACCACATACATCACAAATACAGGTACCCCAAACAACACCACATACATCACAAATACAGGTACCCCAAACAACACCACATACATCACAAATACAGGTACCCCAAACAACACCACATACATCACAAATATAGGTCCCCCAAACAACAACACATACACCACAAATACAGGTACCCCAAACAACAACACATACACCACAAATACAGGTACCCCAAACAACACCACATACACCACAAATATAGGTACCCCAAACAACAACACATACACATGATATACAGGTACCCCAAACAACAACACATACACCACAAATATAGGTACCCCAAACAACACCACATACTCATGATATACAGGTACCCCAAACAACAACACATACACCACAAATATAGGTACCCCAAACAACACCACATACACCACAAGTACAGGTACCCCAAACAACACCACATACCCATGATATACAGGTACCCCAAACAACACCACATACACCACAAATATAGGTACCCCAAACAACACCACATACACTACAAATATAGGTACCCCAAACAACAACACATACCCATGATATACAGGTACCCCAAACAACACCACATACACCACAAATACAGGTACCCCAAACAACAACACATACCCATGATATACAGGTACCCAAACAACAACACATACCCATGACACACAGGTACCCCAAACAACAACACATACACCACAAATACAGGTACCTGCAAATGCATTAACCCCACAGATGCTGGTACCTAACAACACATATCTCAGAAAAACAGGTTCCCCACAAGTACAGGTATTCCATAAATACATGTACCACACAAAAACAGGTACCTTACAACAATACAAAGCCCAGAAACACAGGTGTTTGTTTTTTTTCATTCAGTCACAACATATGGCTTTGGGAACTTTTAAAATCTATTGACTTTTTTATCTTCAGAAATTGAGAAAAAGTTGTTTCCCTTGTTTTTGTAAAAGGCAGGTACTATTTGTAAGTCAGACTATAATCTGTGCCATGCCCTTGCTTTGGACGGCATGTAATGGGCCTCCCATATGCTTTCAGTGAGATTGTCACCACACTACAAGGAGACTACACCTCAGAATCAACCTGGCTGTTCACAGGACAATAACCACATTAAATTGTTATCTGACAATAAGCCCATGTCTTGGAATAAATCCAACCAAATACATATGTTGCTGAACAAAATCAGTTCCAATGTTGTTTCATTGTCTTTGAAGTCAGCCAAATATCTCAATTTTGTTTGCTCCCTGGGTAAGTATTTTTCAGGTTTCAGATTTATGAAGGTATTCTCATTGAACCAGATTAAAATGAAAAAATTTTAATTGAAATATAAACTCCTGTAAAATCCTGTTTATCACTTTCTACATATAAACATAACATAGATACCTTTGCAAACATTTGTGAAAAACTGCTTTAGTGAAAATTATACAAAATCTAAATGGCCAATAACATTGTTCTCTACCTTTTTTCTTTGGTGATGTCACGATGCATATGACACCATATTAAATTATAGTGTCACCATGGAAACCGTAGTCATCTTTTAGCCATTCACAACTCTGCTAGCAATATTGTAAATGTAAACTAACACAAATTTATGTAATGATATCAGGGCAGTTATGTTATGTAGTAAACCTCCGTTTAGTAACTACATGTATGTTTTACACTTGTGTAAGATAACTCAGATGATTGAATAAGGGATCAAAATTATTTCCTTAATAAATGTCCAGCTTATTAGCTAAAGAAAGTTTTTCACCAACTTGTTGTAATTTTCAATACTGAAAATTCAAAATGAAAAGGGAAATTGAAGATTCCTACCATAATGTATCCTATAATTTCATTTTAACTGACAAAAAATAAGACGGGAAAAAAGTATGTCCCAATTTTTAGATACTGGTATCACAACATCTACTTTTTCAAAATTTATGAAAAATTTGTTTGAACTTTAGAAAAATTAAAACTTTATTCTGATAAAATGCAACTGAAATAAAAATAAAACACTTTCAGCTTGTCGAGTTCTTAAAACAAAACCTCACTTGTGCTGAGAATGTATTAATCAGGTAAGAACACGTAACTGTGGTAACGCCCACCTAATCTACACTAGTACAAGGCAGAGAATGTTCCCAATATCCTCAAAGACATGTCATAAGTCCGGAACATAACACTAACTTTGTGGGAACCTTTGATGTGGGCGTGTGTGTTTCCGTTACATCATCAGTTGTAATGTCCAAACACAGACAGGTGACCACAGCTGTTTAAAGCAGGACTTAAAAATAAACTCATGTGTCCTACATCAAAAATAAAACTCTGTGTTGAAATGACAAAAAGGCAATTATATCAGACATAAAACCTGTAAACAAATAATTTTTTAAAAAATCTAAAAAAAGAGTAAGTATTGAAAGCATTTAACTGCTTTCAATCTATATTCATGGGCTTATGAATACCAGTAGGAAAAGGATAAATTCAACGAAGCGTGTTATTCAGCAAACTGTGGCACATCATATATCAGAGAAACATGCAAGATTTGGGGTACAACTTAGTGAACACTAGAAACTCAAAATGGGAAGGAAATTTTTAGAGATCTGAGTACAAACCATTCAAGTTCCAAGTCTTTAAGTTAGCATATAATATTTACAGCTGATACTAAACAGCACAACCAGATCATTGACTGGGACAATTTTTAAACAGTTGATAGGGAAGAACAATATTTTCAAATGACAGATCAAGGAAGACATTGGATATGCTATAAGCTGGTTGGTACTAAACAGGGATGATGGGGCCCATAGACTCTTGCATATCTATTACTGGGTTTTAAACAATGCATAGCAGTTGCCTTTCATGAAATAGTGCAGTATTACCACCCAACACCAATTCAAACCATTTTTATATAACTTAGTCACATTATTTTCCAGTTCAGCGTACATAGGATTGAAGTACTGTCAGAGGTCCTGCTAATTCATTACCTTCTCAAACACTGGTTTCCTCAGTGCAAATTTATTTTACACTAGTTATTTGTTTGATGAAGGTGATGGTGTAGTCATGGAAACATCACAACAGTTTTCTTACCAGCTGCAACAAGAATTTTATATAGTCCTCTGCCATTATCAATTTTTCAACTGACTTAGGTAAGGTGTGTCACCAAAGCTATGAAATATAAGGATAAATATTAATAAAGACAGAAGGGAGATGGACCACAAACAAGGACCCACAGAGAAGGGTTATGTATCCCGAATGGAACAAAATTTAAGTCTGAAAAGTAACAAAGGGCAATAATTCCTTAATTATGCAGAAGAGAGTGATGGTTCGTTTGCACCTCATTTCTCCTTGTTGAGATATTTCTACATGTTAAGGTTCATGTTGATACCTTTCATAGCTTTAGTGTAATACTCTGGACAAAATTTTTACAAAGGGCAGTAATTCCTAAATTAAGCAAAAAAAAGTGATAGTTCTTGTGCACTGCACTTCTTGTTGCGATCAATATACCACTTTTTCATGTTGATATCTCTTTACAGTTTTGAGTTACGCTCTGGACAAAATTATGGCAAACAGACTAACAGGCTTTATGCTCTCTCACCAGGCAGAATAAAAAAGGCAATTTTGAACAGCCCAACATCTGATGATGGTGAGTTTGACGATTCGTAATTTCATACCTCCATAAAGTTGTCGAAACTATATTCTTTAATGTATTAGAAATTTGTATGGTCTTGCCTTACACCCTTTTAGAAACATACTCATATCATAGCACTAATCAGTGTAATATAAGTGCACATTCCTTAATCTGTTCAAATCATGTCATGTGACCTGATTTGACAACTTTCGTTGTTTCCATACTGCATTCTTATTACTATTCATATCAATATCCCTGACCTTCTGAAACTCAAAGCACTTATTCAACAGTTTTGTAAAAAAGATGTTGAAAATGTCATTTAATTTTGGATCATGCGACCTCAGAACTTGTTTACAAAAATAAAAAAAGTCTATTTCTTCAATCTATTATCAGAGAAGAGTATAAAACATGACTATCTTGATTTATACAAAGAATCCTAACTATTCATACAAAGTTTGATGTTGAATATATGGCAATAACATAGAGGATTTTGCCAGTTAGATCTGTATTCTAGTGTGTACACCATAGTGAATAAGGACTTTGTATAGATTGAGTAGCAATATATTTTTTTTGTACCATGTTTTTCACAGATTCTTGGTAATAATTTGTACTGTAAGTAACTGAAATACAATCAATCTACTTAATGTTATCAGGCAAATAGTTAAAACTATTGTCGCTTTGAACAAACAAAACGTAGGAAGAACAGAACAGTGGTTTCACAAGAAACTGATTTCACAAAAAAGAGAACTAAAGAAAACCATAGCTGTTACTTCATCTTTATTATCAATAACTTTGTCGACATAAGTATTCGTGTGCAAATTGTAAAGTCTAAAATCTTGCATCTCCCGATTCAATGACACTCACAGTATGTAATAATTCATTGCTCAGGATGATCATGGCGAGAAAAAAATTCTTAAAAATTTATTATCACACTACAATTCACTGTACTGAAGCATGTGGAACATGTTTTTAACTACATATCAATATGACAATCCCCGTGTCAATAGATATTTAGTTTCAGGATCAACAGAAGGATAAAAAGACTCAAAACATCACAAAACAAAAAATTCCAAATGATTAGAAGTCTGCTAGGAACATATTAATACATTAATCAACACTTTGACAACTCAGAACTACTGTACTATTAAATGATACACTACAAATTTACACTTTTTATTTCAAACTCCGTCAAATGATATTGGTCAATACAATACCTAAACACAAGATTATTGTATGTGTACATTAAACAGATAAATGTTTTAAACAATCACAATAAACTTCACAGATTCCTTTCCTTTTAAGAATTGAAATTTTAGTGATAACTAAATTATGTGTTTGCAGAGGAACCATTTAAGTCAAATGTCAGGTGTGGGTGTTATTTTCTTATGCATTTCTAAATCCTTTTGTTCCAGAAAAGCAACCAGTGAAAATGCTTCAACCATATAAAACATACATAGAGTTAAATAAGCTACTTTTATGTGTAATAAATCTGTTGGGCATATATGCTAAGGAAATATGACATTATGTAATCTAGCATTAGCATAAATTATCAACATCTTTCAGATCAAAAAGAGGATGATCAGACCTTTTTACATAAAAAGGTGTGCGAGAGAATGAAAGGGAGAGAAATTGGCTCCTTCAAAACATATTCTGCGAAAAACTCATGCCATTTCAAAAGACAGCTGGATTTTTTAATCCAATCATACAGTACATATTACACAGGCGTGCATCTTAATTTCTACAAATATGTTCTTTATATTGGCAATGCCTTGTTGGGAAAAAAATCCAATCAATTTTGAACATTTGGCAGAATGAAAGAAATAAAACTCAAAAGTAGACAAAGGTTTGACAAAAAAAAGAGAGACTTCTTTCATACAATCATTCATCTTGTGATTTCCTTACTTCCATTCATACATTACGAAATATAACAAAAGTTCAATATTTAGCACAATGATGCCTATTTACCATGTACACAAGCATTGAGTGTCACTACCAGGTCCAGTTAAACGGCCCACTAATTACATAATATATAAATAATCACACAGGACTGTTTAATCTCACCTCCTACTCACATATAACTTATGATTCCTACAAAATTAACTTTGCTTTGGGAAGAAAATGTCCAGTTTATACACAATGCAATTATTTTCAGATATAAATGAATATTAAAAAATTTGCAATCCTGTAAAAATTTTTAGGACTAATTTCTTTATTCAATGATATCATTTATTAATATCATTTATTAGAACATGACATCGTGAAGTGATAAATAACACTTATGATAGATACTTTAATAAAACTGTATCTCTATGTTGATGATGTTGTGTCATTCTTCTTCTGACTGCTTCTGACAAATGAAACAGGTCTACAAGTTTACCATGATCAACGTATCTAATTGCCCATTACATACTGAACACGTGAAAATTACAATCCATTAAAATTGCACACTCATGACACCAGAACACAAGTGCCTGGAAAAGATGGAAACTAGTGCATTACATTTAGATAACCCCATCCCTCTACTCACTGGCAAAACTTCTAAGTAATCCTCCTTTCTCTTCATATAAAAGTTGAAGACCAGGTCAATATTTGATGAGCTGTTATCTCTCCATGTATTAATAAAACAAAAACTAAAACGTCATTCTTGATGTGCTGGTAGGGATCGACATATCGCTGGTCAGTACACCACTGCTGGTCACAGATCAGTCAGTTGGCAGAGTCCCAGCACTAAAGACTTCACATACAAACTCTGGTACAACATTTTTAGATACTAGTATTAGCGCATGAAATTGTTCTGCAAAGCTCTTTGTTCTGTTCCTACAGGAAATAATCTGGAGTTCTCCTTGTTACGTGAGGTTCTCCTCGCCTTGGTGCCGGATCAAACTGCAAGCTGGTGAAATAAACAAAGAGGTGTGTAACAATATTACCTCACTTAAACAGACAAGTCTCTTGACTAAAGTTAATTAATGAAAAAACTTAACAGTAGCAATACATTTATACTGAATAATGCATTGTGGGACAGAATTAGGCTCATATACAATCCAGTTCTAAGAAATGACAGTGAACTGTACAGTTCAGGTGGGTCACATCAAGCCACAAAATCCTGATTCGAGTTTTTAACTAAGTTAACATTATAATTTGAATGGAGGCTTATTTTCTGAAAATTTCTTGTCTCTATTTGTTTCAACATATTTTAGAAGACATCTTCACATCTTGAAAATCAAAGCAACAACTAATACTAATTCTAGTGTTCTCTTTCAGTTGTTAGAAAAACGTGTCTACTTACAATGAATACTTAAGAGCATCATCTAATTCCATGATAGCCGCTTGATTTCCACAACGGTAACAGTAGTTGGGAGCACTGAATATTGTTACCACATTCCGATCATGACACCAATTGTAACCCTGCCAAGAAAAAAAAATAAACTTAGTTATATCTTAAAAAGATAAGAAATTTTCATAGTCTGGGTAAAATGACTTCAGACACTGCCTGTTTCAAAAAGCTGCCAATAATTAAATGGTACAAATACAAATGAGGTATCCCAGAATGACAGAGAAAAGAAAAGTCATTATTTAAATCCCATAATGAGGATTCCATACTGTGAACTTCCCTTCCAGATACAGGAGAAAAAAATCATTAAAGTGTTGTCAGTTCGACTAGTATCTGAAGTCAGCAGGTGTGTAGAAACATGTTGATCTAGAGGCCAGCTATGAAGAAATCATATCTGATTTCCAACAAGGGTTTGTACCCTTCAGCAACAAGTCAACCAATAGTTACAGTTTTCCATACAAAGTAAAAATGGTGCAGGGGGAAGAACTCTTCATATTATGGCCATGAAAATATATTGTAGGAAATGTAAGTAACTGATACCTCCATGACTAGCTGATGCGCCCTGGATACCAGTGTCAGAGAATTACTGTGATTGAAGGTCTCTGAAATGTCCTGTCCAAAGGTATAGCCAGCACCACGCGGAGATATACCCCAGCCACCCCTGTCGTCGGGGTCAGACCATAGCAGATCACACATTGGTCCCTGAAACAATGTTTAATGTAGCCACCTTACACATTGTATCAACAAGAAAAGAAAGCTACTCCTGAAGTTATCTTACATTTACGATACTCTTGACAGACATATACACTAAGCATGGTACGTTATCTTTTAGGTATTAAGACTGATTTGTGAAGAGAGTGAACTTGTTGCATTTGCAAAATCAAGAATATTTTTTATGTATTCACTTTTATCCTCAACACATTTTAATAACCTCACAATTTTTTTCATTTACTGAGGAAATGTAGAAAAGAATTTTAAATCTTTAAGATTTGTTTTCTGTCAATGCATTCAGAGCAAATTAATGTCAATTTTCAAATTGACAAAGAAATACACACAAATGGTACAGAGAGTAAGGTTTGAAGACATTACCAGCAGTTGATATTATTCCTTGTAACCTACCTCATGAGGAACTTCCTGGATTCTGTCTAATGCTCGTATATGATCTAATGTGTCTATAGATGGCGACAAACCACCATGTAAACAAAATATCTACAAAGACAAAATATTTCACATTACAAATAAAATTATTAAAAGGGCTATACCAATAAAAATGTTAATTTCTATCCCATCCCAGGATACATGAGTTTTTCCATGGGTACCATGAACAAAAGAATTTGAAATCGATGATTTGATAAAGAGCAGGAAACCATACCTTGGATAGATGTGACTTACATTTTACAGAACATATAAAGACATTACTTTAATATCATTTCATCATAATTAGGATAAATGAATTAAAAAATCTGAGTGTGACAATCACATATAATCCTTTTTCAATTATTACTTCAGAGTGGCACATATCAAATTGAATTTTCAGAGTACAAATTGACCCACGACTATTTTCAAAGTTAGAAATGGTTCAACTAGCACATTACACTTAAAACATTAACTGATTTTCCCAAATAATTAGTAAATATTTGGCATCAATTTTAATCTATTCCAAGTTTGAGATTATGTTTGCAAAAAGGACCTGTCTATTCTAGACCAAATCAGACACTCACCTGTGAATCCACTAAGGCTGTGAGAGGGAGGTAATCAAACAGATCGGTGAAATATTTCCATACGTTGGCATTTCCATACTTTCTTAAGCACTCATCATAAAAACCGTATACTTGGGTAATTTGACGACTTTCGTGGTTCCCTCGTAGGATTGTGATTCTGTCCTTAAACCTTACCTAGAGATTCAAAGAAATTAAAACATGTTGCATAATTCAAAAATAACTTAAACAGCATTTTATATTTGGTCAGGTTTTCATGTTCATATATTCTGATACTGTTATCTGTGGACAAATATTCAATAGGATATAATCAGTTTAAAACATTTTGAACTGAACATTAAATATGTTAATGAATTTTTAAAATAACTTTCTGCTTCCTTTATATATATCACGTGGTGTAGGAACAACCACCTTGCAATCTGTCTCTGGTCACTGCTCTACAGGACATACTTCATTACTACTCAGTTCCTGCATTTTTACCTGACATTTGGACATTGGAATACTTTGTACCTTTCTGTAAATTGCATCTTCTACTTATTGCTACAGTGTGAACAGTTAACACAACATGAGAAAAGTCCTTACCTTCAATGCTACTAGAAGACTAACTGTTTCTACAGAGTAGTAACCTCTATCTACATAATCTCCCATAAATAAGTAGTTTGTGTCGGGTGATTTTCCACCAATGCGGAATAGTTCCATCAGGTCATGGAACTGGCCGTGGACATCTCCACACACTGTCACAGGACATCTCACTTCCTGTACATTGGACTCTTTTGTTAAAATCTCTTTGGCCTGAAAAATAAAAAAAAAATTGGTATAAGCTTTGTGATCAACAATACTGAATTGGAAATAGCCATGGCCTAAAAATTAAAGCATTTGGTAGAAATAAGTGTGGTGAGTGTAAATAAACAATCTAGAAGAATCTCCATTCTTATATTATAATTGCAGTAAGGGTCTTGTACTTTGAACATTTTTGATTCCTTGAAATAGACTTTCATACGACTTTCAACTACTATTAACTGATAAAAGTAGACACAATATGTGTTGTTCAGTGAGGTTGTCACCACTTACTACAAGGCAACCTCACCTCAAAATGACCCCAATTGTTGATGAAGCAATAATCACAGCAATCAATCAAACAAACCTCCTTCATATACACTGTGCGTTAAATCAGCACTACTAAAGTACCTTTGTTTAAGGAGAAATGCACAGAAGATATGGGCATTGTAAAAGAAATGAATACTGATTGAGTAATCAAACACTTGCTTCTAGTGATTAATTTGGGACTCAAATATTTGACTCCTATGGACTCCTGCTTTTTCTATGGGACTTGCTTAAATTATGAAAACTCACTATTTCTCTTTATAACTGGACTCATCAAAATTTTGGAAGCAATTCTCTAGACTCAAGAAAAAATTTCTACAATGATTACTGGACTACTTTTATATCTACTTGCCCTATACTGATGATGTCACAATCTTGTAATCAGTATCCATAACGATGGGACATACCTTACACTGACAGGCGCAACTTCGTTAACTAGCTTTACAATCCAAATCAAAAGTGAGGGATCTATCTAGTGAACATTTCCCAGACACAGGATTTTTTTTTAAAATTTGGAAATAATAAAATATTCCTCTTTCCATAAATACATAATGTATAACAATTCAAATCTACATGTCAGAGGGCAGCACCAACAAGAGAAGTCTGATCTTGAAGCCTATCACATTCCACGGTTGAAGTATGTCACCTAAGAACTGTACATCATATGCCAGCTTTAGTAATAAGGAACATTTTTAAATCATCCATATTTATAATGCCGACAGCTTTAGCAATAGTGAATGTTTTCAATACCAGCATAATCCATAGTTTGTACATGTAATAAGAATATCAATATCATACAAGTGTTAAACCACTGTATTGGGTATTCATCGGTCAATTCATTATTCACCGATATAGTTTATCTACAGCGATAACACAAGTGTAATTGAGTCACTGAGTAAACACATGTACACAGAAATTGGGTTTGACAATCCTTATTCTCTACAACATACAAACTAGTATGTATTACAACATTCATTGTTTGTCATTGTAACAGTACCACAATGATACACATTTTACAGATTTCATTTTTTTGAAAATAACTAAAATTCATGGATGATTGACGTCATCTTCTCATCATACTTGGTAAACTTTGATATATATAGTACCTACAGGTTATACAAGAATTGTGTCAGATGTATTAGTGATATGGTTTGACCTAACCATAGAATTTTCAACAACTTTAATATCTGCATGAACATTTTTTGGGAACATGACCATCATGTATATCAAACATATCCTATGTGAAATACAGTTTTTGGACTAAAGATATACTGGTTTACAGCTTGCTTATTAGCTTCAGTATGGTAATTACTGCTGTTTAAACATGGTTAACTCTTGACAGAAGAGTGGTTGGAGGCCATTTTTGGTACATTTCTTGTCATGGAGAAAGATACAGCTGCAAGAGTTTGAACCTTATTATTCATCCCTGTCAATGGTAATTCTCATCTTTTAAGTCATAATAGATACAGGAACATGTACAATACTAATACTGTCACAGACACAGATTCTTGGCCTGAGCAGCTGACCATTGCTACCTGACCCATACTGTGGTACTTAAAAGATTTCATTCTTATGAAGAAATGCATCTATCAGAATACTTCAGAAAATGTATGGACAATAATGAGTAAATGCAAAGTAGTAATCAAATCACGTTTCTTGTCATCACTAAGCATATTATGTACTTTTCAAAACTGTTTGAATTTGGTAGATCTGAACATGACATACAACTGAAATGATTAAATATTTTCTTTGCAGAATGTTGATGTATGCTTCAGTGTTACCTATTTTGACAGAAATCCTGGTACACAAATTCAAACCTAGTTAACAATCAAATTGATATGTTTTAGGTTATCAGAAATCTTTTCTGTTGAGTCCTAGTGTCATTACTATTTTTTCTATGAAGAAACTATTCAGGTCTTAAAATAAGTCAATATCATGAAGAATCACTAAACAGAATTGACAACCCCACTGTACAAAAAGGATTTAGTTCAGAAGTACTTGTTGAAATCCTTCTGATAGATGTTTTTTCTCAAGCATAAATATACAAAATACATGTTTTGGTACAATTGAAAATGTTTTCATTTACGTATCTAATAAGGTTTTCAAGGTGCCTTGTCATTAATAAAAATTGCTCATTCCGTTACTGTAGGACTATTCACTCAAAATGACACTCTAGCTATGTGACCCATTTTACCAAGTACCGAAACAACTTTTGTAAGTACTGAAACAATTGGGTGTCAAAACAACTTGTTAAAAAATGACTTGAATTCCCTTGCCTTCAGTGTCCAATCTAATGTACCAGATGTTACCCTTTTTAGGAACAAGTGTCTGCTGTGAAAATATCCTAAGTCATAATTCTGCGACATTATTTGATGTTGTAAACTCGCGGAGTGTCAATAAAATAAATTAGCTATGAGGTAACAAATACCTTTTAAACAATTGCCAAATGGGATAGCTCTAATATCCAAACCTGGCCCATTTGATCCTGTATCAGTAGTAGTACAGGCCACAAGTTTATAATTACACAGTTTAAACTTCCATACTTTCATATAGAGGTGCACTCATGCTTTGCACTTAACATCCATCTGTCAAAATATCACAATATTAAGTGGAGGATCCAGAGGAAATTTGGGCTATCTTAAATGGTATTCATATGCTATCAAATACATGTATATTTAAGGAACATGATGCAGATAATCCCACTATGTCACATGCATGCATAGAGAGGACAAATGTCAATGTACAAACACTACAGTCACAGTAGTCCCTTTTGCCATGAGTAAATGTATCTGACAAATGTTACGCGTAATTCACTCCATTTCAGATCGGCCATTTACTCAAAATATTGCTTCCTTCTAACTCATTAGCAAATGAAGATATTTTTATTACAAATATGTCCTTGACTATGATTACTGTTAATGCTAGAGGCCGAACTACTGACTTCTAATTTTTCTTAGGTTAGGAAAATCGTTTAGACTACACGGTAGCTATTTTGACTTCCATTCAGGCTAGTTGGCCCTTGAAATGCAACGATTGGTCACTGCACCATTCGTTGTATATAATTATTACTTACCATCAAGACAGCATGGATAAAAATGCCTCAGCAGTCTAACTACGTAAAAAGTATGGCGATGGATTTTTGAATTATAGACAGAGAACACATATTAGAAAATATATATGAGAGGTTACTTCGTAGCAACCGGTACAAAATATACCTTTTCGCACAACGATTTAACTTGATTTTCAGACAATTGCTTGCATTCATTCAACTGTTCAATCCATTGGTCGAGTTCTTTGGCACCAGATCTGTCTTTTATGACATCCATTTTATGTTCTGTACTGTGAGCAGTGTCCAATATTCATGTACGAACACGGTTTCCCGTGTTTTCAAAAGCAGCTACAGACAAAATGGCCGCCGTAGGTCTGAGGTGCGATGTGACGTCATTCCTAGATATATTGCTTATTCATAAAATGAATCAATACATGATATGATAGGAAACAACTGCAGAATTTCTAAAAAAGAAAATATTAAAAAAGTCCATTAATTCAAATGATAATCCACAATTGCGTGAAAAACGCATTTTAGGTAGTAGATAAATCAGCGCCCTCTGAAATTTCCTCGAGTCCAACTTCCTTTTCCGGTCTTCCGCCATAGACCACGGTCACGAAAAATAGTAGTGGCCGAAATCCAACGTAATCGTTGCGAGAAGACCACTAATAAACATGGTGGAGCAAATGACATTAAGAGGAACCCTTAAGGGTCACGGAGGATGGGTTACGCAGATTGCCACAACCCCACAATACCCTGATATGGTGCTGTCATCATCACGGGGTACGTTATTTTCTGTATCTGCAACTCCTCAACGTGGACAAGTTTTTATATGATTTGTCTGCAGTACAGTAGGAAAATATTTTAGAGCTTCTGTTGAGTGCCTGTAATTGATATGACGGGAATGTCCGCGGACAGTCAAGACTGTCCGTTACGAGGTTGTTTACAATACCAAACCCGATAACGCAGACTGAGAGATCTTGCAATGGGGTTAGATTGGGATTCGAACCCAGGACGCCTTTGGCACGCTGTCGTAGCTTTGAACACTGTAATGATTTTCATATAGTGCATTGTCAAAGCTTTGCAAACTGTCATCTCCACTGCTGCCCTTATATTGGTAAACAGATTGAGAACAACATTTGCACCTAAAAATGGCATATTTTTGACATGGGGGGGGAAGGGGGGGGATGATCATTCCTGTATCTTGATTTTTGTAAAAATATCATCTCCATTGGATACAGAGTAGCCGTAGATAGAACACATGGAAATTCATGCTCTCCAATTGTCATTTTAGCACAAAATTAGATGGTCTTGTTAACAAGAACGCCCCTTTTGTTGTTCAGCCTATCTGTAAGAACTTCATTTTTCATATAATCTTGCATTCAATGAAAGATATTGGCGTTAATATCCGTCTATTGTGCGCACTTTTGAATATTGAAGACTTCACTTTAAAGCACTCGATGATTAAAAAAAGACACATTTTATCCTAACTGATGGAAACAAGTGAACGAAAATTGTCCTGCAATTATGAGAGTGCATTTTGTTTCAGCTGACCCAAAGTCTACATATCCGACTGCTTATTATTCTATACTTTAATGTCACTCCTCTGGTTCTCTTTGCCACTTAATACATAAGATCATTGATTTCATATAAAAGAACTACTTGACGTACCAACTATTAGTTTTTTTCTTTTGAAAAATTATTATATTTGTTGTGAGGATTTGCTACCTTGTACAGGCACTTCACTTTGTAAAACCAAGTGTTTGCCGATTCTGAAATCATCTTGATTTCAAATGGTGCATTCTAAAAAAATTATTATTAGGATGGAGCATGTTAATGTAAATAACTGCTTTTGGGCACACTTGTGAATGTTGCACTCATTTATTTTTAGAAAATAATTGACATTTTGGTAGACATTTTTTCACCATATATAGCTTGGTCAAACCAGGTGTGTGCTGACCACAAAATCATCAGAATGTGCACTCTTAAAAAATAATTATTAGGACTGAGCAGACAATGAAACCTTGTAATTTTGTCTTTTCTGGGAAGCTGTATAGGTCAAGCGGCAGATTATACAGGGGTTGGCAAAGGATGCATACAATACAAATCCTACATGCATAAGATAGCTTATTGGTTTTACAAAAATTATGGTATATTGTCTTTATTGAAATGTATTCATTTAATGCAGTAAAAGTGGTACATCATAGAAATATTGCATGTATCATCAAATTCTATTTCCAGACAAGACCCTGATTATGTGGAAGTTGACCAGGGATGAAGCCAACTATGGTCTTCCGTTGAGGTGCTTGCGTGGTCACGGACATTTTGTTTCAGATGTGGTCATGTCATCTGACGGACAGTTTGCACTGTCTGGTTCATGGGACAAGTCTCTCCGTCTATGGGATTTGAGCGCGTAAGTATATAAGTGTATGAATATGCCATTTCTTTAAGATCATATTGAAATTTTAGCGATTATCTGGAAAGATCAGCATTGTTTAGCTTAGATTTTAACATCCAATTGACATTAATTGGAACGGATAGAGTAATGCACTCGGTGATTACAAAAAGACACATTTAATCCTAACTGATGGAAACAAGTGAAAGAAAATTGTCCTGCAATTATGAGAGTGCATTTTGTATTTGCTCAACCTAGACTTCAGATCGGGCTGCTACTGTTTCTGTACTTTAGTGTCGCTCCTCTGGTTCTCATTGCCACTTTTAAACATAGAGAGGATTGATTTCTTAGAAAAGAACTACCTGGCAGACCAACTTTTCATGGCATGTTAGCAGACATTGTTTTACAGCTCATGTTTGATTTCCTTAGACCATTCTTTTCATTGGTTTCTTTAAAAAAAAAAAAAGGTGCAATTCTTAATTAATTGGTGTTGAAGTTTGATTAAATTATGCAGTTAGCATTTCAGATTTTCTGTATGAGTATTCATGTACAATATTGAAAATTTTCAGTGGAACCACAACCAGAATGTTCAATGATCATGAGAAGGATGTGATGAGTGTTGCTTTTTCTGCTGATAACCGACAGATTGTGTCTGGGTCCAGAGATAAGTCAATCAAACTCTGGAACACTCTTGGTGTCTGCAAATATACCATCCAGGTATGCAAGAAAATCAGTTACTTGTGACTTTTGTTACAAAATTAAAGAAATTGTAAGATTTAAGAAAAAGAATTCCAAAATCTGAATGGTATTCATCACATTTAATCACTCTGACAACCTGTAAATAACTTGGGAGATTAATTTCAAAATGTTTTTAGTTGTAGTAAAAATAAGATTTTCCGGAAAAAGGTTTCTTATTAACCCAGATTTCAAATTCTGAAAATTCTGCTTTAGATGGTGGCTGTATTGCATTGCTATTTCCTTGTTGTAAATAATATCATTTTTAAAGAATTGTTAGCTAACAAAGTGCATGAAGCAGGATATAGGTTATAGATATTGCCAAAATATTGGGGAATATATGATTTGTATATGCTATGCAAGTATACTCAATTTTCAGCAGGAAATAGGACTACCTTCTGTTGACTTGGGTGATATTTCATTATGTGATAAATAAACAAAACCAAAATGCTTGTTACTCATCTATTCAATGATTTTACTCACCATTGCTTTAGTGTTGAATGCAGAAGTTATAAAGCCTCCATAGGATTGACTGTGCTGCAACCAGTCCTAGTGATTATTGTCTTATTGAGTTATAATCTGAATCATTAAGCTAGAGTGGGGAAAAGCATTTATATGAAGTGTTTTGGCAACTATAATTTTACAAAGTAAGAAATGGTATGGAGCAATGTCCAGATCATATACACATATTATTAAATATGGATTGGTGAATAAAAATGTTCGCTTAATGGGTTAACATCAATTTCATCAACAGTGTTTGCTTATCTGGAGTACCGACAATTCTTTTATTATTTTTGACACCTCTGCTTTTTGAAGCAATGGGTTTTATGATTGAGACCATGTTTCTGTGCAGAGATGTGGTCATGTTTCTACACAGAGATTGTGAAAATTTTACTGTCTTTTCAGGATGAAGGACATGCTGACTGGACATCATGTGTCCGATTTTCTCCCAACACATCTAACCCCATCATTGTCTCAAGTGGCTGGGACAAAATGGTCAAGGTAAATTAAAGCATTAGATATGTTACTGCGATAATTTAATATTATTGTTTAGGTAACATTACACTCGGAACTAACCGGACAATTCAGAGAAAATGATATGTGAAATATCAAACTATGGCTGCCATTTATTTGTAATTCTTGAAGGACAACTGTATGAAGTTTAAAAAATTCTCTTAGTTATAGACATAGAATCAAATTGCAGTGCAAGAATGATGAGATTGTTGAGCATTGGGCAATGAAACTGATGATTCAAATGCTTATGCTGACTTGCAAAATTTTATCTGCTGAAAAATCTTGGTCAGATGGACCATACAGCCTAGTTTGTGGTAAATATCTACAATAACAAGCAGTTGATTGATTAAGTTACTATTTTTTCCTAGGTATGGAATCTGACTAACTGCAAGCTAAAGACTAACCACATTGGCCACAGTGGTTACCTCAACTGTGTAACAGTCTCTCCTGATGGATCTCTGTGTGCTTCTGGAGGAAAGGTATATAATCAATTACAAAAGTTATTGTATGTTTATGGCAGATGTTCTGTAGAATCAGTAGCAAATGATATTTGCTTGTCATGTGAGAAGAGGACTACCATATTTTGTGTCAATGACTGGTAGCTCCGTGGACTTTTAATAGAATTATGTATTAGAAATCAAAAGGGTCAAATTGAATGGCCAAGATATTTTTGTCCATTTAAAGACTGGAAAATATGTTTTGAATTTTAAGTTCACTCCAGAGTAATGGTCATTCATTTAAGTCACATTACTTACTTCACTGGTTTCTTACAGGATGGACAGGCTATGCTCTGGGATCTGAACGAGGGCAAACACTTGTACACCCTGGATGGAGGTGACACCATCAACTCCCTCAGCTTCAGTCCTAACAGATACTGGCTCTGTGCAGCCACAGGCCCCAGCATCAAAATCTGGGTAAGAGTTGTCAATATAACACAAAGAGTGCTGAATGTTAAGTAGACAGAATTTACCAAGTGTAATCCAAGGGATTTTATCTTAAGAGTTCTTGCTTAAGCCATAACTAAATCTTTTTGAAGTACACAAAATTCTAGCAACTATTTAGGAATGCATGTAAGCTATGCAGCATCACTCCATTTAATTTGAAATACTTACCACAAATTACCAAATTAAATGTCCTGCATTTGAAAATATGGCCTTTAATGCACATTCTTTTGAATGCGCAGAAATATCGTCATTACCTAATCTGGTTTATAGTTGGCTAAACTCCAGAAGTT